GGCCACGCCCCCGCCCACCTGGGGCTGGACTCGGGGTCCCCAGGGGGCCGCCCAAACCCAGACAGGGGCCCTGAGATGAGGGGGCCCTGGCTGGAGAGATGGAGCCACCAGAAACCCATATGGCCCTGAGCTGGGCACCCCCAAATCAATGGGCCCCTACGCTGGGGAGACCAAGAAATGGGCCTACACAAGTACTAGTCACTCGAGGGCCCTAATAAAAGACGGGCACCCCTCCCCAAGGGAAGCCTGCCCCCTCCCTGAGAGCCATCATTCCCACCGACCTTGGTCTGGAGGGTGTAGGGGGACCATGCCCCCGCATCTCCCTGGATCCCTCCAAATGCACCCCCACAATCACTGGTGCCCCTAGGTGATGGATAGAGCCAGAATCTGCCTTCCCCCGTTGCATTCCCTGTGCGGAAGGAGGACCAGGGTAGATCCCCCTGCCCTCAGCCCACTCCCCAGTCAGGCCGCCCTCCCCTACTGCGGAATGGGTCAACCCTAGTGATCTCCCCACCCCCAAACACTAGACTAGGCTGGTTGGGCATCCCCCTCCGCCCAGTAGGATGGACTGGTCCAGATGCGCAGCCTCCTGTCCACTGGAATGGGCTGGCCCCGCTGTGGCCTGCGCCGCACCCTCTTCACAGCGGACACGGCAGACACGCCCCTCCTGTTCTGCGTCATTCCCGACCTGCGAGCTCACCTGAGCGGGAGCTGGCGGACACTGGGGTCTCCCCCCACTCTGTTCTAGCACCTGTTGGTCTTCCCCTCTCTGTCCGTTTGTCTGTCTCTGTGTTCCTCCCAACCCCAAGGGAAAGGGGGGGCTGGCTAGGGGGTTCTCCCCATGAGCCTCGACCTCACCCCCTCATCCCAGTTCCCCGTGTCTCCAAGACCCCAATAAACCTCATCCTGTTGGTCAATGCCGTGTCATTGTCTGAACCTTGGCCCCAGGGCGTGGGGGTTCCTCCCTCCTGACTTAGATCAGGGCCCTCGCAGAGGGAAGAAATTTGGAGTTCTTGAGATGGCGCTTGACCCTATCAACTACATGGCACCCTACCCCTTAGACACAAGCTGTGCCTCCACAGATGGACATCCCCCTAGAACCAGACAGCCCCCCCTTTTTTAAATATATTTTTATTGATTTCAGAGAGGAAGGGAGAGGGGGAGAGAGAGACAGAAACATCAGTGA